GTTTGTGGTTGTAATGTGACAAAATATGGAAAAGTTCAAGGGGTATGAATACTTTTGCAAACCACTGTATGTGTCTTCCTCTGGTTTCATTTTAAAAAACTGCGTTCACCCTCACATCGCTTAAGAAGTTTGGGAACCACTGGTCTAAAACGTTCCAGTGTGACCGGGCCTTAATTGTTAGGCATTGTTTTTGTTTTCCTCTCATACTTGATTCTCTTTTTATGACGACTTCTAACTTTATTGTACTTTATTTGATGTGGATCACTTAGTAACGTTGTTTTTAAAATCTTCTTTGTAAAGATTTACTACTACATACCTCATATTGTCTCTGAGTTTTGTCGTAAAGCTTCTAAAGAACTCGACTTAATTATCTTTTAAGTTCACTTTTCTTTGAAACTATGATTCATTCATGAACACTGACATAACCGGGCCGCTCAGTTGCCAAATGTATAATGACTTTTTAAAGTAATAATGTGAAATTTACTTGTCATAGCAATTCTGTCAAACTGCCAGATGAACTTTTTTTTCTTATAGAACACGGCCAATGGTAGGTTCAGGCATTAATTCACAGATGTGTGTTATTTTTACTCAAAATAATCATAAATAAAGTCCGAGTGCACGCTCAACAAAAACATCAGATCAAAGCTGTTTCTTTTTGTTTAATCTGAACAAGATGCAGTTTATTTTCACCAAATGCAGGAGTACTAAATGCAATTTCTTATATTTAATTTCTGACACTCTTTGCAGTACAACAAAAGGAAAACAACATTAATCCTGAGTTTCCAGTCAAAGAATAATTGCTCCCAGTTCTACTTGAACTCATTTAAAAAGAGGATGGGGGTAGGAAACGAGCTAAAGAGTAAGGCTGTGCAGGGAAGGGGGGTGTGGGGGTGCATCGGGACTTGGACTAGAAGACAAGAGAAAAAAAAACGAACAGGTGACAGAAACACTCAGCTGTCATCTGACCCCGAGGGAAAGATCGGCACTCACGTCGCAGGTATGTACATCTGCATCGCTTTGATCTTTTTTTGCCTGGCACTAGTTTGCATTCGGATAGCGTGCTTTGGAAAAAAAATTACTAACAGACACCGGTGTAAAAAGGCAAAACAAAAAAAAAGAGGCACTACTTGTAAGCGATTGCGGTAACACGCAAAACAAGTGTTCAAAGGCAAAAGCCAGGTGCAACGCTGAAATGGCACGAGAACTGATAAAAAGGAGCAATCATATTAACAGAGGGATGACAGAGGGACAAAGATATGCAGCTCAGAAAAATGGTTGAAGATGTTTCCCAGAACTACAGAGAAGACACATCAACAAGTGCTTCTCTGTTTCTGCACAACATACATGCATTACCTGCACATTAACATCTTAAATGCACAAGTCTTCTAGTCGTTTCTTCTGTGTGTGCGTGTGTACGTGGGCCGACTCGGTCTTGTTGGTGAGACGGTGAGAATTCAAGCAGATTACAGAGGAGAAATCCGATCATTACAGCGCTCAAAGCCTGTATTTTACTCCCTGAAAACAGGTGGGTGCGTGAGCGAACAGGATGAAAAAAAAGAAAAAAGTTGCGTGTTTTTGTCTCGTGCAGAGCTGGACGGTCAGCGGGTGCAGGGACGGGCAGGACTTGTTGAAATGAAACGCTGCTGCAGTTGGAGTCTTTGAACGAGGTGGAAGGAACGAGAGGGGAGCGCTGAGAAATTCCTTTTACGAGAAAATAACTCAGAGGGAGCGAATGGACGAGCTGACATCTAGTGGACGGCATGCTGACGAGAGGCTGAGTCTTTTTTTAAATTGTGTTTTTAACACAGACTCGTTCCACCTGCAAGCAAAGCTCTTGTTTTTTCCTCCAGCATGCCTTTAAGTGTAGCACCGATTTATTTACTTCAACTTATCTTTTGTTCAGAAAATACATTTAATTAAACAATAACAGTGGTGGGGAGGGAATCAGACACAGTCCAATCATCTTTACAGAGTTCATCTGCTTACAGACTAAATGTAAAACAACAAACACAAAATCAAACAAAAACTATAAAAATGATCACCAGTGAATATTAAAAAACAAAAACCTTTGCCGCTGTTTTAAGTCTTGCTGAGCGATTCGGCACGTACAAAATGAATAAATGAATTTAGAGCTTCCAGGTGAAGCTCTAAATACCCGTTTGGTTTGGTTTAAAGCCACAGTAATCCCAAACAGGCGACTTTTCCTTAAAGCAGAGGTGCCCAAAGTGGGGCCCGCGGGCCAAAATTGGCCCGCCAAGCCATTTGATTTGGCCCACCAGCAGTTGTCCTGGTTATTAGATTGTAATTATGTTAAGATTAAATATAAAATACAAGTAACTACAAGAGACATTTAGATNGGTTATTAGATTGTAATTATGTTAAGATTAAATATAAAATACAAGTAACTACAAGAGACATTTAGATTTGATTTAAGCCCATATGACCCCATATACTCAAATTTTAAATTATGGCCCCCTCAGGGAAAAAGTTTTTTAATTTTGGCCCCCTCAGGGAAAAAGTTTTTTAATTTTGGCCCTCTCAGGGAAAAAGTTTTTTAATTTTGGCCCTCTCAGGGAAAAAGTTTTTTAATTTTGGCCCTCTCAGGGAAAAAGTTTTTTAATTTTGGCCCCCTCAGGGAAAATGTTTGGGCACCCCTGCCTTAAAGGAAAATTAGTACTTAAATTGATTTGAGTTTTTGGGAAATTGCTGCAATTGGACTTACGTACGTCTTATTTTTTTTGGTATTTTACTGCCTATTTTATTATTGTTTTTATAATTTTTACCAAATTTCAGTTCTATTTTATTTATTTTATGTGTTTGTTTTATCCTCAGCTACATGTGATGATTGTTTTGTTGTAAATGTGCAATAACAATAACTTTGACTTGACTTTGTATTTTATTTTTGGCAACTAGTTCCTCCATTTTTGGACATTTGTGTTCTAAATTCGGCGAATCGGTTCGCGGATGTTTGCCCAGCTCCGCCCACAATAAAGCCCAAACATCACCTGAACGAATCCATCACACATCGTCATTTGTTGGACTGGTGAATGTCGGTTGGAAAAACTCCAAAACACGTGTTCTGATGCACAAAATAAAGCTACTAATTTAAATTGTTTACTAAACATTTAAAAAGAAATCAAGAATGAAAAAAAAAGCTGAGACGCCTTAGATGTTTGAGTCTAAACCTTTCAGATTAGCAGGGGTGGGCACCAGTCCGCTAAAGTGCAAATCCGCTAATTGCGGACCTAAATATTTCATTTGCGCTTTAGCGGTCTTACTAATTTTTATAATTCATAAGCGGATTTGCGCTTTCTAAAATTAAAATGCAGTACCGCTAATAACTAATTATCTACCAGTCATCATTATCTTGAACAGCAGAAGGTATGACTGTCAATGAATCACAACACACGTGATCTGTCCAACAACACCCCTCCCAGATAAACACACTTATTGGAAACGTATACATCTTTGCTGACATTTGCTCTCGGTCACGGTTCTCATTTCCCACAATGCTTTGTGTCTGCTTACGTAGCAGGACGGCAATGTTTAGTACTACATTTCCCAGCAAAAATAGTAAACGTTTGTAATCCATACTAAAATTTTGTATGCATTTATTTAATTTACTTTACAATCGGAGCTCCTTTTTAAAAATAAAAAAAGTTTAAACGCTGGAGCTAAATACTTGACGTAATTGGTCGAAGCAATCCACCAACGGGATTAGACAGACATCTAGTGGTCAACTGGAGCAACTACATGGAAAACTTTCGTTTCCCGTCACAAATCAAATCCGTCATTAAACTGTTTAGTTCACAATGTCGTTTTTTTTTTTTTGTTTGTTTGTTTGTTTGTTTTTTGCACATTTACTATTTTATGTTTCCAGTAACAGACCAGACTTACTTTTTTAGGTACTTTCTCCACACTCTTCTGAGGCTTCACATCATCTTCATCACTGTCATCATCACTACAAAAAAGCAAAACAAAGCAGTGAATATTTATTCTTTAAATCCTCAAAATTTACAACATAAAAATACAGATTTGCTTTCAGAATAAAAGAGATCTCACTCATCGTCGTCCTCGTCACTGTCTTCTTCTTCGTCATCATCGTCTTCGTCTGAATCCATCTTTAGTTTTTTCTGCAAGAAACGAGAATCCTCTTTGTGTAAGAAAAACTGTTACAGTTTGACTTGATAACTTTTTTTTAATTAAACATCCATCTTCTCAGAACCTCCTTCGTGTTTCAAACTTTTACAAACCGAACATTGACGCTTTCAGATAAAATAACTGGAAAGGAAAGTTGCAAAGATAATCACCAAGGGAGGCTTCTTCAACGACAGGTTTGCAGGCCTCTTCACCGGTGACGTGTTGTTTTCCTCCTCTTCATCATCAGACTCCTTCACACCTGAAACAGTAACGGTTTAAACACTTCACTCAAAAAACTTAAATAACTCATCTTGCGATGAAAGTAATGGACATTTAGGCAAGATATTGAACAAGAATGGAAAACTAAGTGACCTTTAGGAGAGAGGATGACTCAAACTTTGTGAAAGCTTGTTTAGACCCGTAATACTCACTGACAAAATGCTGCCCGCTGATGTGGACCGGTCCAGAACCAGACACCAGACGAAAGGTTACTGGAGGAGTGATCTCAAACCCACCTAAATTCATCTATGATAAAAAAAAAAGCAACAATTACATCAATAAACAAATCCTAGAAGATGTTCTTTGAAATTTGTATATTTTTTTTCTTGAGCACAAACTTCGGTGCTGACTCACAGAGGGCAGGACGGAGGGCTTCAGGACAACAAGCGGCACTTTGGTAGCCTTTGCATCATACGTGAGCCCTTCCACTTCCACCAGGTGGAACTTGTCCTCAGCCTCAGCACCCAGACACACCTGGAACGGCACTGGAGACGTCAGTAAGCCTAGAGGAGATTTACAAACCTGTCCAGCCTGTATGTATTTGTAATTATTTCTATTATTAAGCTGTGCTTTTCTGTGCATTTCCTCTGAAACTGTCTGAACTCTAACATGCACATGTAATATGAGCCCACCACACATTCTGTGGCTCCTGCTCTATATTATTGTTCATTACTGTATAACACTGGTTTATGTAATAACTGTATAACACTAGTGTCTATATCAGCGGTCTGCAACCTGCGGCTCTTTGGTCCCTCCACAGTGGCTCTTTGAAAATGTGACCAAATATAACAATCATTTATTTGTTTTTGTTTTTATACCCACAACAGAAATCAATTTGTATGCAAATACGTGATCAATACTACTAATACAAAAAGCAAAACATGTTGACTAGCTCATGCTAGCCTGTTGTTTACTTAAATAATCCAACTTCTTTTATTATCTTTCTCTCAAATCCATCAGATTTACCTTTAAAGAATATTAAAAACTACATAATAAGGATTAGAAAAAAATATGCTTGAATAATTCAGTTGTACTAGTTTTTATGAAATTAGGTATAAACTATATATAAAGAATTTTTCTTGTTTACATGAATATAATCTTTTTATTTGTCCTGATGTGTAAAAATAACAATAAATAATAAAATTCACTATATATTTTTTAGTTTTATATCAACTCATCACCTCCGCTGGCCGTAAAGTTTCCCGAAAAGGCCCAGAAAAGGCCCACGGACCACCACTTTATAATCACAATTGTAGCTTATTTTGCGGCTCTGGACACATTTTATTACTGCGTCAGTAGCAGAAATGTCTCTTTTGATCGAAAAAGGACGCAGACCCCTGGTCTATATTTTCTAGTCTATACCACATTTGATGTTTACTTATATAAGGTGACTTTTAGTACTACACATTCTGCTGCTACTGTCTATAAATACTGTAAATACTGGTCTATAATTCTGTACACCCTACTTTTGTACTCTATTGTACTTTATTTATAGTCTCTCTGACTGTCGGTAAATGGAGCAACTGCAAAGTAAGAATTTCACTGCACAGTGTAACTGCTTGTATACTGGGCATAACGACAATTAGGGGTGTAAGAAAATATCGATACACTGAAATATTGCGATATTTAATTTCCCGATACTGTATCGATACTCTAAAGCCCTGTATCGATTTTTTATTAAGGTTTAAAATGTCAACTTTCCTGCCAGCCGTTCATTTTTATGTTGTAGTTCAGCCT